CTGACAAATAATATCTGCATCTTTACTTGCCATAGATGTGGGAAAAAAAGACAGTAAGGTCTTTTAAAAATGAAAATCAAGTAGGGTCACAAAGATTCAGAAGCAGAAGTATCTCCAAATAAAAATTCAATAAACTATGTCATATAAACAACTTACATGTAAGTGATAAATCTCTCTACATCTGTTGACCAGTGTAAAGATTGAGTTTTGGCTTTCACAGTGGAGTTTATGTTCACTGAGTACATGATCCCTTGAGTAAAATCTAAAGGTACAACCTGTTATAGATGAAGTGAGATGGCACAGGCAGGCTCCTCCACTCCAGACTCAAGATTTCCAAGAGAAATAACCATCTTCAGTGTTCTTCACTACCTCCAAGCCAAAATACACCATTTTTAGGCAGCTGTTTATGTTATGTTGTGGTTTCTAAGTGTTGTGCAGTAAAAGAAGAAAGTGATATGAGAAGAGTAACACTGAGGACCACTGATTTATGTGGACTGGAAACTTAGGAGAAGCAGAAAAAGGAGAAGCAGGAGAAGGAATAAAGCTGGCCTGGTGCTCTCGATTATACTTGACCTGTTTTAGTTGAAGCAGTTCTGCTTGCCTCTGGCCACAAGAATTTCCTAATGTATTTTACCATCAGATGTTGCATCCTTTACTAGGACTTGAGTGGTGTTTGTAGGCTGACCCCTGCACAGTTCTCCTTTCAGACATCCTTTTGACTCTGAATAACCACCTCAGCACGAGTTTTTAAAGTTTTGACATTACTTATGTCATTCTGCAAAAAGCGATTCGTACTGTGAAAATGCCCCTGGAAGCTACTCTGAAATGTGTTCTAGATGGTTACAGTGTTCAGTCAAAGAACATCTGATTTTGTTTATTGCCATGGAGTTGTGAGGCTCTGCTGAAATAAAGCACTCCTGAACCTGCTTAAGTCCATTTGACAAGATGCTTAAGACAAATTTTATCTTATTAATATATAAAAGGAAATCCTTAAGAATTGTTATTAAATAATAAAATTAGAAGAGATGATTGCTCATTCACAGCTGTCCTGTATCAGCTTAATTTTGAGTGCAAGATGCAGAGTTTTACAGGTCTGTTTCTATGCAGGCACTGAACTGAGCACTACTGCTCAGTTCTCCTGAAAATTATTTTGGAGTTTAGCTTCAGTGAAATGCTTTGAAAGAACATATTTTTTTAAAGTGCTTATAAATTCCCTCTAGAAGTCACCCTCTTACTTTGCTGTCTCATGTTACAAACTCGAATATTTTAATTTGGAAGAGGTGTGTCTTTGATTGTTCATTACTCAAGAGAACCCTTGCCAGAGTGCCCAGAAATACAAGAGCAAGAAAGAGCGCTGAGAGGTGGGGCAGCAGGGTGGCTGCCTAGCCCTGATCATCATCTCAAGGCTGATCTGGTAGGACTGGCTAAAAGGGTGACAGGCCCCTGGGAGATTGCCAGCAGGTCACCAATTAATACTAATTGCATGGGAAAATACCGTGAGGGTGGTTCATCAGGGACTGGAATGAGTTCATAGCTGTGCTGCACCCAAGGGCTGTGTGTCCCTTGGTGTTTACTTCAAGAAGAAAACACAATGTTGCTTGCTGCTCTATTCACTTGCAATGTTTCTAGATCTGGACTACAGTTCATGTGGAGGAGCGTGAAACATCTCACATCTATCACAGAGCTTGGCTTGTGAATATTTGAGTTAAAGTGCAATATTCTAATTGGTTTCAGCAGGAATCATCACTGTCATCTTGAGCCAGACATTGCTTCTCATTTTCTCATAGGAAGGAAAACAAAGCTGAAGTTGCATGAACTATATGCACATGATAGTCCTTTCAAAACAAGAAAACTATGGAAAACTATGATTTTGAAAGGGCTTTTGGCTTTGCCTCTCCGATTTCCAAGGAAAGCTTTGCAGAAAACTGGGATTTAAGCTGCTGCTGTCTCCTCCTCTGCCTGGTGACAGCTGTAAACATCTGCTGAGGATGTCATTTATTGTCTCATCCTCTCGTTGCTCATGAGGATCATGAAGCATCGTGCCTCCTTGAAAATGGAGCTGGATATGCTGTGGGGCAGGAGCGGACAGGCAGCGTGCTCAGGGGCTCTGGAGTGTGGCTAGCGGGGCCGAGAGCAGCTGCCGTGCCTGTGCTGTCCCGGGGATCAGGCACAGGGAGAGCCGCTTTATTTCCCGGCAGGTTTGGAGAGGCAGGTGGCAGCAGCCGGGCTGGGAAGGGCACGTTGCCCTGTCGAGGCACTGCGATTTCGCCTCTTCTTCCTCCTCTCAAAAAGGCAGACGAGGCGTCCAAGTCCTAAATCGCATTTTGTCTAACTCCTCCCCTATTCCGGCTGCTTGCTCATGCAACCACCCACGGATCCGAAACAAAAATGTGTGAAGCGAGGCAGGGAGGGCTCTTGCCAGCGCCGATCCCGGCTCCTCTCTGGGCCCCGTCGTGCGCTGCCACTGCCTCACTCCTGGGCACGGCGGAGCTGACCATAAACACATCGGCATTTCTCTCCCATCCCTCCTCATCACCCTGTGCTCCAAGAGGAAGAATAAGAAGCAAAAGAGGTGCGGGGCTGCGGATGAGCGTGTCTTTGTGGTGGGCTGACAGAGGCGGCATTGTTCGCGGGCTGTGCCCGCCTGGCAGCCGGGAAAGTGGGATCTGAGCCCTGCAGGCGGGATCGGTGAGGCTGTGCCCGAAGGCGGGATCTGTGCCCTGCATTCGGGATCGGTGAGGCTGTGCCCGAAGGCGGGATCTGTGCCCTGCATACGGGATCGGTGAGGCTGTGCCCGAAGGCGGGATCTGTGCCCTGCATTCGGGATCGGTGAGGCTGTGCCCGCCTGGCAGCCGGGAAAGTGGGATCCGTGCCCTGCATACGGGATCGGTGAGGCTGTGCCCGAAGGTGGGACCCGAGCCCTGCATACGGGATCGGTGAGCGGCCGGGACAGGGTGAGCAGCTCCGAGAGCTGCGTTAATGCCCGGAGGGAGTTTCAGAGCTCAAACAGCTTCTCTTGGTATCTTCTTCTGCACAATGCAAAGAGGGTCTAGGATGAGGAGTCCTTGTTAACCAAAGGTAATATTTTTGTCTGTAGAGTAGCATAAGTTAGTGGCCATTGCTGCTGTTTGGTTGTTTATTAAAATAAGAGTGATACAACAAGGAGGAAAGTTATGAAGTGCCCTGTGCTCTGCAGGAGAGTAAAGCTTCATTGTGCTGAGGGTTATTGAAGTTTGGCTGTTCCCCTTTATGTGGGCTTAGTTTGTGTTACCAGTAATAAGAAGATCTGTATGTGTTCCCATCAGAGGAAGAAAGGACTATTTAGTTTCCTTCTCTATCTTACTTTTTAAGCCAAAAGTTACTATTTCTATGCAATATTAAATTAATTATGCTAATAGAAATACATTGATATATAGGCAAGGTAAATACTTCTTATTACCAGAGACAGTTCCTCACCTCTCAAGGTACTCCCTGGAGTACCATGCATCCTGTACAGTCATAAAAACATTAACATTTGTTGCACATACCTCAGCAGAAAGAAAAATCATTGTTGCATTTATTTTTCCAGCCACCTTGCAATAACTATGATTACACACTGTGCCAAACAGATTTTTCATTGTTGTGCCAGTATTTCTCATGTGCTCTTAGTACATCAATCCTATTTTAGTGGGTTTTAAATGACTATTTTTTTAGTTTCTAAGATATATTTTGTCCAAGTGTCGGCTGTTCATATTGCTGTCTGTTCTTTGTGGTCGACAAGTCTGTTTTTGAGAGCGTGTACTGCTATTTGGGATGATAACAAGTATGGTCTTAAAAGCACAAACCTTGTGGCTGTTGCTCATCTTTTGTGTCCAGGCTGACATGCTTTTGGGGTGAACGGGCTCAGCTGCATTGAAGACTCCCCACACAACTTAAATCTGGAGCTCTTAACAACACAAGTGGTGTTTGGAAGGTCTTTTCCTAAGAAGGGGTTAAAATGAGGCGAGCGTGGTTTGTGCACTGAGGAACGTGACTGGGTTCTGCCAGTGCAGCGCCGTTTGTTCTGTGCAATTTGGGAGAACACAGCTTCTACCCCCTGTTTGCCTGATGGCACAGAGCAGCCCCAGAGGACACACGCTGCTTTTGTGCTTCTGCTCAGTTTTAATCTTTTGGGAGCAACTGTTTCAAAGAATAAACACATTGCCTTGTAGGAGAAACTCCAGAAAACATCCTGCTGGTGACAGCGGCAGCCGCTGCCCATCATCCCGACGCTGCTCTGCCAAAAGCGGCGGGGCTCTGTGAGCTGGCCTGCCAAAGGCTGGGAGCTGCAAACTCTGTGTTCCCGAGGATGGCCAAAGGAAAGCAGCTTTCAAAGAGCTGAATTAAGACTGTGAGGCTGCTAGCTGCTGGCTCAAAATGCAGAATCTGTGTTTATCCTGGCCCCCTCAGCCCAGGGATTTCTGGCATCCCCTTTCTGCAGCAGTGTCTTGCCCACTAATCCCTACACAAGCCTCAGGCTGCTTGGTGGTGGGGCTGGTTGGGCACCAGGCAGGCAGGTGATGAGCCTGCTCACTCCCTCCATGCAGGCTTTTAGGTTAAATCAAAATTAGTTGTTTATTATTTTGAATACACTTTGAATACACTGCCTCATACTGGTGTAGAGTCTCTTACTTTTTCTTCTACTTATTGGATTTAACGGGCAAACAAAGTTTCATTTGCTGTTAGTTTAAAAAAGTGGAGTAAATACATGTCCCACACAAAATAATCCCACAAAATAATATTTGTTTGGTGGATGTTGCATGCCTCACTTATACAGAGACTTTAATAACCCATTTCCTTCAGAGTATATGACACTAAGTGGGCAGGGTCAATTTAAAATAAATAGCTTTTGCTTACGAAGTTGACTTCAGTCTGTTGTATATGTTTCTGTAAACAAAAAGATGCAGCAGAGTTTGGGATGGACATAAGCACAGACAGGGGTTTTGAGATAATGTCTGATCAGTGTTTCATTGGTTTTTCAGCCCAGAAGCTTTTGCTTCCTCACTGGGAGAGCCTGTATGAAAACCTGTGTGGATGATGTTATAAGGTAAGGAATACAACTTAGGTGTGTTCTTTAACTTCTTAATTTTGCATTGTTACAGGGTTTCTGTGTGAGAAGTTGCTGCGCTCTATCTAATTTCTTCTCAGAGAGACTCTGTTGTTTGGTAGTAACAAATAAATGAGCAAGACTGTTTACGGTGTAGATGATGATATGTCTTAAATGCTGTTGAATTTCAGATTTTCTGCTACGAGCCTCAAACTGTCCCTGTGGGGGGAGGCTCTTGCTGTGTGTCTGGGGTCTTGTTGTCTTGCTGAGGTCTGGAGGACCTCCTGGTGCAGCATCACTCGCAGTGTTTTATCCAACTTGGTAATGTTGCATTAAAACAGGAGTGTGCAGTGTGTTTTCTGATGCCCAGAAGTATTGTCACCTCCTGGCATTCCCCTGCTAACGTTAGTGTCACCTTTCCTTCTACACTGGTCCCTGTCCCTGCAGACATGGTGCACTCCAGGCTTTTTTCCTCAGGCAGACTGATGATCAGTGAACAGCACCATTCTCACCTCCTCTCTCAGGGCCTCATGCACTGAGTCACCAAATCATTTGTCAATAAATGAAGAATCTGTTTGAAATAAATTGATGAGGAAATGTGGAACTCTTCTGTTCTGGGGTCCTAAAAGGCAGGCTTTCCTGCTAGGCAGTTCACAAGCCTGCATGCATATTGCAAAGTCTTAGCAGTGTTAGTATAGTACAGCTGTGCTGCATATTTCCTTCATCTGCTTGTTTAGAGACACCCAGAATATTCATCTTAATCATTTCCGCTGCATAGTAGGTACAGGAGGAAATACCAGGGAGAGCCCTGTCACTGGGAAAATGCATCATTTGAATGTGTAATGTAAATATTTTAGCTAAGCAAATGTAAACACTGTTTTGCCTTTAGGATGGGAAAAGACTGTCGCAGTCAGAAACGAGCTGACATAAGAGTGACCCTGTATAGACGAGATACAAAATTGTGTTCACACATTTTGGTAATCAAAACAGAGCCCTTAATGAATTGCCTAGTGTGAAAGGAATTACAAACACAAATGTGCCTGACACAAGGCATTAGGAAGTTGCTGCTGTATTAATGCTAGAATGAAGGACTTTTCAGGATTCATGGGGATCCAAGGTCTATGGGGAGGATGATGGGAGATAAGAGAGATAAGATGATGAGAGATGTGCTATGGTGAGGGCTAAACAAAGGCTGGAGACTCTCTGGAGAGAAAACTAAACTTCTGACTGTGCTCTGAATGTCCATGCTTCTCTATGTCACTGACTATGAGTTGTTGAGTGAGTTGTGTTCATCATGCCAGGACAGTAAATTCAGAAGTTTTCAAGGGTTAGAAGATGGTAGAAGCAATAAATATGCTAGATTCAGTAAGAAACCCCTTATTGCATTCACAGCCGTGCTGTGGTTTTTCAGCCAGTGGATTCAAAGGAAAGCAGAGTTCTTAGGGAGCTCAGAGTGGTTGCTCATCAGTTCTGCCTCAACTGGCTTCGTGTGTGAAGACTTATGTTCAAGTGGTGGTGCTTGATGGAAACCAAACATGTGGTTTAACTTTTGGTACTGAAATTGGTCCTGAAAAACAGCATGGGATCCAGAATCCTCCCAGATCCCCCTTGACTTCATTGTGCAGTAAATGGTCTTTGGGCATTCATCAGATTGCTAAGTCAAAGAAACATCTGGAGATGATTTTGTTGGCTGTATGTTCTAGCCCTTGAATTGTTGATGTCAGAGGAGGAAGAAACGACACAGAGGATTTGTCTAGACTCCATAGATTGCAAGAAACTAGTTAGATCTTATTTCTGAAGGCACAGGTTCATGTAAACACCCAAGTGAGTGAGCTTTCATTACTGGAATAGCTGGGGGATTTTTTAAGGTTGATTTTTGCTTGTATTACCAACAATGTATAATATATTAACGTCTGCCTCACATTTGCTATTCTTTTGTTGTAACAGCTGGAAATTTACATTTACACATAGGCCTCAGAGCTAAAAAATGTCATTCCCTAGGTTAAAAACCCGTAATGATTTTTGTTGTTCTCCTTGATAGGGAGAACTGAAAACAAGGAAAAGACAAACAGGAAGGGTAGCCCCAGATGATAAAGGCTCTCAGATGGAGTAAAGATTAATCATGTGGAGTGTGGCCTTGAAAGTGTCACTGTCTGCCACTACTACAGCAATTTAGCTATAGCCAAATGAGCAAATCTACCTATTTAATTATCTAAAGAAAGTAGAAGAAATCAAATAATAAACGTCATCAGTGAAAATACAATGGCTTTTTTTTCAGTACAGAGAAAATTAAAAGCTCCTCTTGTGTGGATGAAAAGTGTTCTGCATCGATGAGAGTAACTTCAACATTATCACAGAGTCAAACTTGTGTTGCTAGAAAATCTAATCATTTTGTGCAATAACTTCTTTTAATTATTCTCTTGAATACAGGTAATCCAAATCTCCTTTTTCTCCCATACAGATGTATCAATTTGCATGGGAAAGCATCAATACAGTCAAGAGTAAGAACTTCATTTTTTTCTTTTATGGGCAGGAAGTTCATATACGTTTGCTAAAGGGCTGTATTGTGCCTTTTTAAAAAATAATTTTTAAAAAGGATTTAAAATTAGATGCTGTGTTTTAGCACAGGGAAAAAGGTAGAAACAGATTGGTCTGTAGCGCTAAATTCACAGCATCATTTTTCTAAAATAAAGTTATATTATTTGAAAGCTGATGAGAGAGAGGGAATTTAAGAGATGGGAACTGCAATTGAAAAATTTTTGGAAGGAGATTGTAAACTTCAGGGCGGAAGGGAGTTAGATAAAAGAATCTGTGAGAGTGGGAATAATAATGTGAAGAGGAACAGACTGTGCCGGTGATATCTTTTGGCCAAGGTTTTGAAAAGAATTCAGAATATGATCTGCAATCCCTGTCTTTGAGGGGGGGAATGGGAATTTTTCCATTTACAGTAAAGTTGAGTGAGAATGTCATTGCTCCAGCTGTTAAAATATTTTGAATTCTACTTCAAACTGATTATTTATTGCAGTGTTGAAGTATAGACTATTGTGGACAAAAGAAAAAGAGAAATTGGAATCAATCCCAAAAAGTGGGTTGAAAGTATAATTTATGCTTCCCTGAGAGGGAATGGGACTGCTTGTCCAGTTCAGCTCATTCCAACCTAGTTCTCTGAGATACTGCTTTTTAGGAAGCCTCTTTGGATAGATACAGCTGGAGGTGAAGAAATCTCAAGGTTCAAATTTGCAAGGGAAACTTGGAAGCCTCTGTGAAAGCCAGGAGTAAATAGGATGCATATTTTGAGGCTGGAAGTGCCATCTGAGTGTGACTTTACAAAGCACATGAGGACCACGGCATCCCAGGCATCTCTGGCACACGCTTGAGAACAGAGTTGTGCAAGGCAGAGTTCCTGCAGAAGGTGGATGGGCTACTTGGGCTGCTCCTGTGCCTGCAGCCTTTTCAGCAGCCTCTCTTTCCTCATGGTACTGAGCAGTACACCATCTTTGCCTGCACAGTCATTTCTATGTAACACAGTCTTCACATTCATATCTACATAGAACCAGCTCTAGATGAATAGCAGTAACTTCCAGCATTAGGTAAATATGTCTGTGAAATGAATTTATCCTTCTGCTGTTTGGACTGTCAATGGCCTTGGACAATCTGCTGTCATCAGACTGACTTGGGTTCTTAGTTTTGCTTCTGTGGCACAGCCAATTCCATTTCAGTATATGTGAATTAGAGAGAGTGTGCTCTAATAATATTTTATATTTACATGGCACATCTCATCCCAGAGGACTTTATAAATCATGTATATTCAACACCTCTGACCTTTCACAGTCCCTTCAGAGCTGGAGAACAAGCATTTTACAAAAGCAATAAAACCATAGGAATTTTTTCTCTGTAATACTGGGGGGAACTCATTAATTACAGAATGAATTTTATGTTCCCTAAGCTACAGCTCCAGTTTGTAAAGACCTTTATTGAAAATTTCTTCAAGATAAGATGCATGATCCTGCATTTTGTGTACACCACGAACAAAGGGCTAATCCATCCTTTTAAATAGAAATGGAAATATTTCACTCTTGCATCTAAATGAACATAAAAGTGTCACTACCTCTATACCTTGGCTGTCATTTTACCAGTAAATTGTCATCTCTTCCTGAAGGATCTGCCCAAAATGCCATAGTCTGCCTTCCCCCTCAGCTGCTACACATCCTCCCATCTCAGTGTGAGAAATACAGCAAAATAGATGCATCAGAAAAACTATTTACTTGCTTTTGAGGGAGTCAAATGTGACTGATCCTCTGAGGTGTCAAGCTGAAGAAATTGAGCATGTCTGTGCATTTGGTCAGCATATGCAGAGGAGGGATGAGCAGGGCCAAAGATACAAGGCAGATGAGGAGGAGGATGGTGATGAATTCATTGTCCTGGCACTTGGTGCCTCTTCCTGCAACATTAGGAGGATGACCCAAAGCCTGTGGCTATCAGTGTCTGTCCCTGCAGCACTGGATCAGTGAGGGACAGTGTGGGGCCCTTTGTCTTCCCAGAGCATCCTCCTTGTGGTGCACGGGGCTCAGTTATGTGCAGGACTACCTCAGTGGGATCAGATTCCCTCTACTTGGAGAAAAAACTCCAGAGGAGCTGCTTTCCTGAATTTGAAAGAAGAAAATGGACATGCAGCCTGTCTACATAGTCTTTGCTTGGCTAATTTTGTGGGTTGATTTGGGCCTTATTTAGTCTGTTGTTTTAAACAGAAGGACAACAACATTTCTATTCTAGGTGTACAATTCAGCAAATGGATTACAAAACCACAGTTAAGTGTGACTGTCATGGATAGTAACTCAGTTAATAATAGATTAAAGAATCTTTAAGTTTTCTGTGTATTGTTTTGCCATTTGTCTCTCTTTGTAGCTTGTCTGGATTTAATATAGTTTATTCCATTTAGGAGCATTACTGAGACAAACCCCATTAAAGCAGGCATTATAGTCCTTGTTTTGATTAGCACT